GCATCAAATTATATGAAACATGTATAGAAAGTATCATTTAATTTTATCCATAAAATCTTGAGTTATGGCTGTTACCATTGGCAATATTTACAGAAAAAATATTTTTCAGAAAACAAGTTTAAAGTTTTCATAAAACAATTTCTTAGTGAAAGAAGCATCCCTGATAATTAAAATTCCCCAGATTTGTAACTGACACCTTGTTTTTCTTCACACACTTTGCACTTTTTCTTTCGAGGAAGCGTAATCTTTTCTTTGTGTGTTGTAAAACTTGTGGAATGCCGCCAAGAGTCATGATTTTGCACTTTATCAAGTTATTCCCTGCTCAGTGTAAAATTCAGGACACATACCTAACCTTGAAAAAAATACTTCAAGAAAACCTATAAATCCATCATTAAATAACAAAAAACACTTGCATTTGCTCCAAAAATTAATGTTCGCATGTTTATTAATGTTTCTTTTATAACAATGTGCAATAAAATGGCATTAAAACGTTCCTTAATACTTTGAGTTTTGCCATGTATGCACTTTTCTAATAACTTTTGTTTATGTAGTCAACTCCATATATATAGGTTTAATTAAATTCAAACTATATGTTGATATAATAGAGGTTTTTTTCCTGATCTGTTTTCCCTGATTTCTGCAATCGCACATTCATAGTTGCACCAACTCATTGATTGAGGAGGACATTGGCTTTGAGGAAGAGCTACAATGGAACAAGCAGCTAGTACAACCTACTGCGTCTCAATTAAGTTTCCAACATGACTTCTAATTGCAATCCCTAATTCTGCAGTTTATCAATAAAAGAATAAGCCAGTTTATCTTTTCCTTTCAATTCAGGAGCAGAGTTTTTACTTTTCGTAGTCTACTACCAACCCTTTTCTGTACATGTCCAATGCATTCCAATTTCTTGGTCGAATCTTTACCATATATATCTTTCACAATTAAAAACCCCTTAGAATCCCCATCATCGTAATAACTCCGTGTACTTCAGCTTTCGTAATGTAATAGATCATTCAAACAGCGGATAAGCACCAACTGCTTCCATACCCGAAATTTATTTGATTCTCCCTTTCACATTTCGACATTTAAATTCATTCCAAATAAAATTCACCTATTTTTTAGGATTTACTTTTAAATTTATATTTTAAAATAATTGTTATAATTTTTTCGAAAACGCTTTTGTATTACAACCTATTACCGTGATCTTAAAGTACATGTATTTTTAAACATACCTGAAAAAAATTAGAGTTTTTTTTCTTCAAAATTTCCTAGGATATACGTTAATTTACATATTGGTGAGTTTTTAAATCTGGCATATTTGTTATAAGCGATAATAACGCCAAATTTGGTTTACGCAGTATATTAAACTTATTTGAAGATATGAACGATGACTTCCCGCTCGTCTAAAATGAAAAAAAGGAAAGGAAAATAGGTTGCTATAAATTAAGAAGTTCGCCAAGTGAATTATTCTTGGGACAAACTGAAAAAAAAATGGGGCAAGTTAAATTTTAAAATCGCTCCATAAATTTCGCAACAAATTTTACAAAATTTAATATGTAGGCATAATTTGAGTCGTAGAATATGGAAAACAAAATCGGCATGCCATTTCAGAAAAAAAGTCCAATTTTGTGTCAAAATACCTATGTTAGAACTGCGCTATATATAAATCTAATATATATCCTAAGTCGTGCTTTCGAGACATGGAAAACGCAATTTGAATTTCGTCAATCGGTCCTGTAGAACGGGAGAGATAGAAACTGTACCCATTTTTTTTTTCCGCAGTGTTAGTTCTTGAAACCTGATTCGCTCGTCTGATTATTTATTAAATTGTTTCAACTTCTGAATGATTTCAACTTCTGAATTTAAATTGTTGTTGTAATATATGTATATATATGGGGTGTTCCACCTGCGCTGACGGATGAATTCTCCACATTGGATGTCAGGATGATGTCTATCGAGAGCAGAGTGTCGACTTCTCTGCAGAGCGAGATAGAGTTCCGTAGCAGAAGGAGGAGCTTGCGAGAGACTAAACCTTGGGTCATACTCAGATGGCCTCAGAACCATACGGTTTCAGTAGTAATTCATATAATTATAACATGCAGGTGGTACGCCACTTGAATGTGGTACATGTTTGTATTCTAATATAGGTGCGTGCATGCACCGCTTTTAACTTATCTACTTTTTCCAAGTGCATCTGTAAATTTCCTGTCGCATAGGTCATGTCACACTGCGAATTGTATGTTGTAAATATGTAACCTAAATATGTTATGTCGCTAAGTCTTATCTATGCTTAACTATGTTACGTCGCTATACTATGTTCACCTGTCGTGCAAGTTACATTACGTTGTGTATTTAATGTTGTAAATATGTTATGTCGCTATGCAATGACTATGTCACGCTATGCAATGACTATTCTATACTATGTCACGTCGAAATGCTATGCAATGTCATGTCTATGCTATGTTATGTCGCCATGCAGTGTCCACCTGTCGTGTAGGTAATGCAACGCTAAACATGTTATGCTCTAGATGGAACGGGTCCCGGACTATACCCAATTAGTGTTTGAAAGCCGTCCGGGTGTCCGGCCCTGCTGTCACCTGTCACCTGTAAATTTCCATGTAATCTTCTATATAGTAATCGCCGTGTTCTATACAATAATATAATAAATGTAAGTGGAATTAATATAAGAATTCTTATTCAAAAGTTGGAAGAAAATATGTATATATATATATATATACAGGGGTTGGACAAAAATATGGAAACACCTTTAAAAAAACATGTTTCTTTGCTTAATATGGTGTAGGAAACCCGTTGGCATCCAAAACAGCTTGCAGTCTTCTCGGAATGGATAAATACAGTTCGGAATGGATAAATATGTTTGCCAGGGGAATATTATACCATTCTTCCTGCAAACGGTGGCAAGTTCAGATAACGATGTTGGCGGTGGATAACGAGAACGCACTTTCCGTTCCAAAGTAGACCACAAAGGTTCGATAATATTCAGGTCTGGTGACTGTGGTGGCCAGGGAAGATGGAACAACTCATCCTCGTGCTCAAAAAACCAGTCCTGGACAATGTGAGCTGTGTGAACAGGGGCTTTGTCGTCTTGGAAGACACCATCACCATCGGGGAACAAAGTTTGTACCATGGGATGAACTTGATCGGCCAAAATGTTCACATAAGTCTTGGCAGTCATGTGCCCTGACACAGTTATCATGGGGCTAGCAGAGAACCACGATATGGCTGCCGAAACCATAAGAGAACCCCCGCCATGTTTCACTCTTGGCAACAATCAGTCTTTATTATAGGCTTGAGATGGCGTTCTCCAGATGTAAACTCGGCCAGAAGAGGGAAACAATGTGAAAGAAGACTCGTCAGACCATATTACTCGCTTCCACTGCTCTATAGTCCAGGTTTTATGACTTAAACACCACCTTTTCCTGTTACGGGCATTAGCATCACTGATGAGTGGCTTCTCAATTGCAGCACGGCCAGCAATTCCCTGTTTATGAAGCTCCCTTCTAATTGTTTTTCGTACTCACAGGGTTCGGTAACACAAAATTCATTTCAGCAGTAACTTTTGCAACTGTGGTCTTATTTTTCGTCACAATTGCCCTTAATGATCGTCTGTCACGATCACTCAGGACACACTTTCGTCCGCGCTGTGATTTAGCAGATGATGTTTTTCCGCTTTTCAAATATGCGGAATAAATCTTCGATACAGTACCTCTTGAAACACTAAACACCTCGGCTACCTTGCTTACGGAAGCACCTACCATACGTGCTCCAACAATTTGCCCACGTTCGAAGTCTGTTAACTCTGACATTATGCAATGACAACCTCACATAACAGTACTCCGACAACAACTGAATTGTTTAGCACATTTACGAAGTTGTATAGGTGGCGTCAGTAGTCAAAAGCGCCAGCGCCACCTACATATTTCATTAAAATCAATCTTTCTTTTCAAACATGCATTTCACAAGGTATTTCCATATTTTTGTCCATCCACTGTATATATACGGGAAAAAATCCTGCATTAATATTCTAATTTGCAAAAATCCATTAATTCTTCATTTGTGTTTGGATATTTCCACTTTCTGTCCTAAAATTAGCAAATGGTTATAATATATTTTTCTACACTAGATTCAAAATTTAATCCATGTAATATGATTATGGCATAACGCTCACGACTCAGTTAACGTTTCAGCGAATTATAATTGCGGAAGCTTAAAATTAACCAATCAAAATAAACTATAACTAAAGCATTCTGAATTGGGTTTTCATTTCAGATACTTTATATTAACTTGGGGTTTCCCAGGACAGGTTCAGAACCTGTCTCCTGGTAATTAATTCTAATAATTCTGAAATTTAGAACTTGATGCATAAATAGGAAAATATAACAAGAATTTAGTTTGTAAGTAGCCAATACTTACTAAGTAAGTAGTAAAGATCTAGGTATTTAGAAATGTATTTAATACTGAAATGGAATTATTTATTGGAAAAGAAGAAATAATTTTTTCAGGAAATCTCTCAAAAATTTGCTTTTTTTATTTCAACAGCAATATTGGCAGACAAAAATTAGCTTTTTCAAAGAAAAATAATGTATATCACTGCATGAATCCATGTAATATGCTCACTTGTCTAACGTGGTCAGCCTACGTTCACGAAATTCCTTGTGGAAAGGAGCGTTAGATTACGCCAGCCGTTGGCAGCAGGTACTTGTACAGGTATAGATGCAGGAAAATTGCATTAAATTTAACATAACTTATGATTATATTAAACCTATGATATGTATGATTCTATAAACCTATAATTAATTTCGGTGTTAACAGTAAAGAAAATAATAGAAATGACAGTAACAGTTTATGAATAATAAAGAATAATTAAATACATATAAAGAATTTTCTTTCTATATTATGTATGTATATTTTTCTGATGGAACTTACAGTTAGGATCTAGTAACAAAACAATTATGAAAATCAGCTGGTCATATGCTCACCCCTGCAATCTTCGAAACCATCCGTCGGTGACCATCGTCCATCTCGCTCATGGCACGTGATGGTTACTTGTGTCCTTCCGTCAGAAAATGCATAACCTGGATTACAAGTTGCTTGACACGACCTACATATAGTAAGAAGCAAGTAAATTCATCTGATTTCCTGAAACGTTTCGTATAATATTTGAGCTCTGTACAAAGTAGAAATGCATATTTATGTCTCATAGCTTAGAAACTGCTACACTAAGGATTTATGTTAGAAGATTTTTCTCTAAAATGATTATAAGTTCCCATTTTAAAATGCTATTGAGATCGACGTTGAAATGTTTTAAATAATGGACAGGAAAGGGCGTAGACGAGGTATAAAAACGTGTGTAGAAAGATAACATGTTTTTAAGAAAGCATGGCAAAAATGTAAATATTCAGTTGTTTAATTATATCAAAGCCTAGGTATCGTTAAAGGCAATACACCTGTGCAATTATTTTAGATATAAATTTATGCTTACAAACTTACACACAAAAAATACATACGTTTTCCATAATTTACAATCTTTCATTTTATGAACTTTCCCACATATGAACTAATCTGTTCTCAAAGAGCTAATTCATTCTTAGTTGAAAACAATTCAGAATTTCCCTTTCTGGAAAACCAAGACCAATTTCTAGCAGGTTTGCTAAAGTAAAGTCTACCGTACACGACGCTGTATAATACTATAGGCTTATTTATGACGAAAAAATTAAACCTGTTCAGACACTATTATAATTGTTATTATTATTATCATTATTTTCATTACAAAGACTGTTGGCGGTCCATCTAACTTCCTAACTCCTTTTATCTCTCATACAAGCATCTTATCACAAATGTCCCCTTTACTGGCAATGAGCCTTTAGAAAGCAATTCAGACGTCGATTCACCCCACCCAAGTAAAGATTTACTATTTTCTATCCTCACTTCATCCACAAGTGTCTGTATATTTTATTTATAATGTATTTAAAATTTAAAATATATAATTTATTTTATTATAAAATTTTTTATTTGTATTTATAGCTTTTATCTCTTGAATATTATTAGGAACTATGGGTAGCGAACTTAGTAACATTTTACGAATAAATTCATAGTACGATCGCAAGTCGTCTGCAAGGTGTCCGTCTGTGCCTAGATTATAGAATTTAATTATATTACCACGTTTTGAGTTAGGTTCAAAATAATTTATCTAATCAAAACTACAATAATAATAATAATTTCGTGAAAGTATTTAAGTCATGAACTACACGTTTAACAACGAAATGAATTTGCAGATTACTTGATTACTCGCCAAATGATCAAATCAACAAGAATTACCGAAATACAAATCACAAATTTGATAAGATAATAATCACGGACATTACTTCAAAAGATAAGAGGATACGAGGTGTACTTCAAAAGGTGTTCATGTACGAGGAAAATAAAATTATAAAAATAAAATGTCCAGATTTTCCATATTCTGTTGTATATTGCGAAATATTTTCACTAATGCTACGAATAACAATAAATTGTTCAAAGGAACATCTTTAAATATAACGTTCATTCATGTTATTAATTGCAGCTTATGTTTCTGAATATACCGAAATTATACAGCATGAAGAAAGTAAAATATTAAGAGCAGTTATATCATGTGCTCCACTTTATGTTACACACACTATTGAAGTTAAAATATAAAAATTACAAAGCATGCTCCTGAAAAGATACAAATAAGGAATTTATTATTGATGGAAAGGAACACATATATTTATGTTATACTGAGAATAATAAAAAACGTTTATTTTGTTTTTGTCAACGAAAGCAATTATAAAAAGTATCTTAAAAACCTTTTAGAGACCAATTCTTTCAGAGGTCTATAATTGAAAAACGGGACTTCTTGGGAGCATATTTAAAATTTGAACTGAACATCATCGCTAACCCTACTCTCAAACACGAAACGTTCTAGAGAAGATCGGGAACTGGAACTTTGAATGGTCGTCATAGGGCATTTCACAACATTTTCAATACCTATCATCGTTTAATTTAAATTTCTGCACTGATTAGACTCCTTATCCGACTAAATCATATACTGATTTTAACGTCTTGTCAATAGAACACAACTGTTTATTCCTGCGGTGAGCTATCATGGATAAGCGGAAAGGAAAATAAATAAAAAAATAAATAAATAAATAAATAAATAAATAAAAAACAAGCTGGCATTGAAGCAGTATTTTACAATAGAAATTAATCTGATAAGTAATATTAAATAATAAATTGGTGTAAAACGTAATACTAAACTATTATCCGCTATTAAGTAAACAGCTAATTTGCAACTTTTAGTGAGAAATATATGTTATTATGATAACTAAAACAGCAAGATATGGCAATATTGGAGTGGTTAAGTAATACATAATACACGCAACACGCATTTCAAACAATAATATTACCAGAACACATCGGAATAATGAAAAACATAGCACCTGTATAAATGTAGTTAACCATACGACATGCAATGCAATATATATCTGGTGCGCAATATAGACGACAAATATGATATAAATTTTGGTTAAGGCCAGTCGTAAAACATAACACACACTGGACATAATATGCATAATACACATTTATATAACAGTGCTTAAATATGCAAAATGATAAAAGGACACATTTTATGTTCGTAAGATGGAAATACATAAAGCAAAGAAGTGAAGCAAAGAGCGAATACGACGAGTCCAAATGAAAGTTGGGTCAAATGTGGTTTAGTTTCAGTTCATACATTCCTATTGGTTGTGAAAGGTTTCCATTCCCAAATTTGAAACTATTAATTGGTGAAGTTTGTGTACGTATTTGAGTGATTAATATTACACAAGATTTATATTAATTGGCTTATTTTTGAAATGACGAAGTTTAGAATGATTTGTTATAAATAATCACTATTTTAAGACAGAAAGGAGAAATACTCAGATTAAAATACATGGCTAAGGTTAAGGGTTGGTACAGGTTGTGGTACATGTTGTTAAGTTAATTTCTATAAGGATAATCTCCCGGGAGGACAGATCAGTCGCTCTCTCATCTCACTTCCTCTTCCAATAATCTCACAAGAGAATTTTCTGGTCAATGTTAGTTCAGGTTTTTCGTTTATTTGAACACTTCATAAATTTACTCTACTGCGGATTTAATATCATTGCATAATTCGCTAATGTTAACGTACTCATAGTTAAAAATAATTGACTGCTTTAGAATTTTAGAAAAGAACATTGTTATGCCTTAAAGAAAACTGTTCTAAAATAACGGTTTTGTAATTGTATACACTGCCACTCAGTTTCAATTCCTGCAAGGAAAGAATTAAAAAAAATTAAATTATTGCTACTAACCGTTTTACAAGGTTACAGCCGGAAACATCGTCTGCGATGCAAAAACATCGCAGACGAAAACGTCGCGGAGAACACAATGCAAGGCGAAAACGTCGTGCTACAAAACATCGTGGGAGAAAACATCGCAAAGAGAAAACATCGCAGTTCTAAAACATCGTGGCACAAAACATTGTCGTCGAAAATAAAGCGGTTCAAAAACTTCGCAGTTTAGAAACATCGACGTCGAAAATATCGTGGTAAAAAATAAAGTATCTACAAATCATCGCATGACGATAACATCGCAGGCATACTTTTTTCAGGTTTTAATAACTGTAAATGGATATTCCCGTAATGGTTTGTGAGCGCAAGATGGTAAGAAAGATAATTTTTACCTTCATATTTTTTATTAATCAATAACTTTTCACTGAGAAAATAAAAAGGAAATTTAAGCATAGAAAATTAAAACAACTTATAGTACTTAATAGAATTTTAAACCGATATAGTTAACTAACAAAGGCCATTATTAAATCATTTTTTATAAAGTTTTTACTGGTAATTTTTCATGAAAAGTATAATCTATAAGTTGTAATTTTCAATGCTTAAGTTTCCTTCTTACTTTTTTAGCAAAAATTTATTAGTTAATAAAAAATGTGAAAGTAAAAATTATCCTTCTTTACATCTTGCGCTCACAAATCATTATGGGGATATCCATTTACAATTATTAAAAACCTGAAAAAAGTATGTCTGGGATGTTATCGCCATGCGATGATTTGTAGATACTTTATTTTTCACCACGATATTTTCGACGACGATGTTTTTAAACTGCGAAGTTTTTGAACTGCTTTATTTTCGACGACGATATTTTGTACCACGATGTTTTAGAACTGCGATGTTTTCTCTTTGCGATGTTTTATCCCACGATGTTTTGTAGCACGACGTTTTCGCCTTGCGTTGTTTTCTCCGCGACGTTTTCGTGCGCGATGTTTTTGCCGCGATGTTTTTGCCGGCGGACACCGTTTTACAAATCAGTAAGAAATATCTTTTTCACAACTAAGACTCTAACGTAGTCTCAATTAAAAATACATCAGCAATTGATGTGCTATATTTTATCATATTCGTACTCTTTTTTTACTATATTATTCATAGCTGCATAATATTTTTAAATTATATATTTCCGTGCAAAATACCGTATTTCAAAATTGTAAAAGCAATTATCTTTTAAACTTCAGTCTCATTAATGCTGCATCCAGTTTACTTTCTTTTAGAATACATAATATAAAAACTACGGTTCCTATTCAAAAGAAGATATTTCTTTCTTTTAATGCTCTCGTGTATAATTAATGTGAAACTGCATATGAAGTTTTTTCTCGTTTCAGTCTTCATAAAATTTTTACTGATATTCATTTCTTGTTTGGGTTTTCGATTTTCTTATAGTTAAACATTTTCGAAGATTCTGAAAATTATTAATAATACATGCGGGTAGAAGTAATGGAAGGAAATATTTCCTCTTCCCTTTCGGAGAATACTTTAAGAAATTGCATTTTGGAGAAAACACATAATTTTTTCTTCACTAAAATGAATTCGAGAAATTCCCAATGCATCCAGTTAAAAATACTGTGTTGTCAGTAAAACACAGTCTAATTGCGATTTATTTTATTTTTCATAGTAAAGCTCTCAAATAGTACTTGGAAATGGAATCTGATGTTTTAAATTCGATATCGCAATAATTTTAAATCGCAGATAAGATTAATGTAAATTTTATTTAATCCGCATC